TCCCGGATGGTGGCGCAAAGAGACACAAGGTTTATAATCGGTTCAGCAATCGAGGCCCTACGCCCCGGTCCGAGAGATCGATCTTGTATTCCTTGCACCGGAGTGCTCAGAGTAGGGGTTACAAGCTAGGTGAGAGAGGGGACTAGCCCCTGTGTCTCGGCTGAGTGGTGCGGGCTGCTTGAGGCGTTGTTCCCAAGCAGCAGAGGAGCTGTGCGTGGGTTCTATCGGGCGTGTTCGTCTTTCCGGCCTCCCCCTCGAATGGCCCCAGTCCCTCCCTTTTATACTCTAAGGGAGGACTGGGGACCGTGCACTGTGGTGCTACATAGCGCTTCGTAAATGGGGTGGCGTGTCAAGAGCCACGTAAGTCGGCCTTTGTTGTGGTATGGTCGATGGAGTGGCCCCGTCCTTGTCGTCATGCGGAAGTGACATCTTTGGTCATACTCGGTCTTGTGCGTCGTGGGGCTCGAGACGGCTTGATGCAGACATGGCGGGCGACGTCTTTGGTCGCCGTGTAATGACGTCGAGGGAGCAGCTGACTCTGCATTGCCGAGGCCGAGCCATCGTGGGGGGCTCGGTGGTCATGGACCCTCAGTGCGCCGAGCCGTGAAGCAAAGCCGCCGAGGCCTTGGGGAGTTATTGGCCTGGGTGCGATTCCGAGGCCACGAGCCAGACGCGTGGCTCCCCATGCTGCGTTGTCCTTGGAGCGGGAGTTGGCGACAAAGTGAGGCATGGGTGTCAACCATGTGCACGGTGGATAGCATAGTGACGGGTAACCCCGCCCGATCCGGGGACGGCGGGTCATCGCGTGATGACGTCGTGGGGGCCGTGGCTCAGAGGTGCCGAGGCCAAGCCATCGTGAGGGCTTTGGCGGACATGGGTCCTCGGGTGCCGAGCCCTCGGAGCAAGCTGCCGAGGCCTTGGAGGAATTATTTATTCTCTGGTACGATTCCGAGGCCACAGAGGCCTGGATGTGGCTCCCCACGCTGCATTGTCCTCGGTGCGAGGAGTTGGCAAGATAGTGAGGCATGGGCGTCAACCCATGTGCACGGTGGTTAGTACATGGCGGGTAACCCCGCCGATCCGCCTCATCCCCATCGGGCCATTCTGCACATCTTGTCTGCGGGCATGCGGTCATTGTCGAGGGCAGCGATTTGGATGAGTTGATGCGACCTGACGTTTGCAGAGGGACGGGAGAAGGAAGAGGTAGCGGAGTCTTTGCCGAGCCCGCCTTGCGCGAGACGGAGGGTCGGTGGCCTCGGCCGAGGCCTTTGGCTGGGAATCGACCGAGGCCCAGCGGTGAGGGGCCTCGGCGAATCGGAGAATCGGTGAGGTCCGCGGTGATGAGGCCCAGGCGAGTCGGAGAATCGCCGAGGGCCCCGCGGTGATGGGGCCTCGGGCGAGTCGGAGAATCGGCCGAGGCCAGCAGCGTTTAGCTGGTTTCGATCTTTACGAAATCTAAGCAGTCGTTTTTTGGATCTTGCTTAGGGTACCCCTTCTCACGGTATCCGACACATATGCAGTTGAATATGATTACTTACCTGCATATCAATGCTCAAGATCACTTATGACAAAGAAGTTTGAGGGTTTATTCTTCTCTGGCCAGATAAATGGAACAACGGGATATGAAGAAGCTGCAGCTCAGGTTTATTCATTGTTCTTGCTCTGTTCTTCATGAGTTAATTGCAGTTCGTATGGTTGGTTGAACTAGATTTGCTGGATCCTAATCTTGCTGATTGCTATATATAGGGTATAATTTCTGGAATCAATGCAGCTAGGCATTCTAATGGGAAATCATTAATTATTCTTGAGAGAGAAAGCAGTTATATAGGAACTCTTATTGATGATCTTGTTACAAAAGATCTTAGAGAGCCCTATCGCATGCTAACAAGGTATGGAATTTCAGTATAAAACATTTTTATTATTCATGCTTAAATAACTGACGCTGAAAAATAGTTTTACTCCTGCAGTATATAGTAAGCCTGAGCAGTGTTATGTAACATTTGTGTTCTTTAGTTAATAATTGAGTTTATCTTTTAAGAGGAAGTATTAGGTGCATAACTGGACAAGAGTATATTGGTGCACATATGCATAAACTCAATCTCATCCCTCATCCAGTATGAACAGTCCAAGTGAGAGGTGGAATTCCCTCATCCTCTTGTCCACCTTTTAACTGGATTAGATCCAGTTAGGCCTAAATGAGCCCAAGAGGATGAGAGAACTCCCACCTCAGCTTTGAGCCACTTGGATCCAAGGAATGGGATAACGTTTGTGATTGTGAATTCCTGTAGGCTACAGATATACACATGGTTTTATTTTGGTAACACAAAATTACATGCTGAGTTCTTTGAATTTTATGCTGTCTAATTCAATATGGCTTCTGTGTTCATAAATTTCTTAACCTTTTCCCTTTTTTCTTTGTTTTTGCTGGGGCATTTTCCAGCCGTTCAGAACACCGGCTATTACTTGAGCAGATAATGCTGATAGTCGTTTAACCCTTTGGGACGAGAGATTGGTTTAATAGATGATAGACGCTGGGAGCTTTATCAGTCAAAGCAAGCCCGCATCAAGCAAGAAAAAAGAACGGTTGAAATCTACAAAAGTTCCAGGTGAGCATCATATATTTTCTTAGCTAATGAATAATGACATACTTTTGACATACTGCACCATTCATATTGTTAGATGTCCTAGAATGCATGCATTCAAACTTTTTGACTGCAAATTTACATAAAAATATTTACTTTATCATGAAATTACATAAGTAGATATGTAATCACATTTAAGAGTTTTGGTAACATAATTAGAAAGATAAATGGTCATATGAATTTATTGAAGAAAGTTGATGTCTTAATTGAAAGGTTGACTGCACATGTACTAGAGAATCATGTGTTTTGACTGTAGTTAGTATATAAAATGCTGTTAGCATGGTTCACACGCTCTAGCTCCAATGTTCTGTTATCAGGAGGTGAATTTGCTGCTGAAGTTACTGCAGTATCCAACCAACCTGTAAAGGATTCATCTACACTTGAAGCCATACTAAAGAAGCCACATGTACAATATAAACTCCTTGATAAGCATGGATGTGGAAACGAAAATTTATCTCGAATTGAGAAGGAATGTGTAGAGATTGATATCAAGTATGAAGGTTTCATCGCACGACAACAGAGTCAATTACATCAGGTAATTGCTTATGGTTATGCGATTTTGTTCTGGAGTAGATTTGTGAGGGAAGTAGAACTGCTACAACAATGGTACATAATCATTCAAGATGTCCAACAGTAATGCATTATGCATGAGTTCATTGTTTTGTTTATTTAATTGAAAAGGAAGCTAACTCTTTGTTGTTTGTTTTTCTCTCTGTTAAGATTGTAAACCAAGAACACAGGAAACTTCCTGAAGATTTGGATTACCACTCAATGACAAATCTATCACTTGAAGCTCGGGAGAAACTTTCCAAGGTAAGTTCGGGATATGTAAAAGGAACCTTATGAAAGATAACCTGCAACTAAATAAAAAGCGTTCAGCAGTTCTCCATTTGTTAAGTGCAGTTGTCCATTTCAACTACTAGGCCACATCTTTTCTGAAACTTGGTATCATGTGCAAGAACAAGGTCAAAGTAGACCATATAGACAGTACTGCAGTTACATCTTATTCCATTGTAATAATGTAGATTGGGAGCCAATTTTGTGGTCTCATCTTATCTTAATTGTACCCTGTGATTCATCCGTAGGTGCGTCCACAAACAATAGGTCAAGCTAGCAGAATTGGCGGTGTGAGCCCAGCAGACATGACAGTTCTCCTCATTTGGATGGAGAGCAACCGACGCATGGCTAACCACAGGAGAAAGCAAGAGCAGCTGAGATCAGCTGCAGTCGAGGCGGATGGTTCTTCAGAGGAGGTTGTCCATGCCAGCACTGCATAAACACGGGGAGCTTCTGGCCGATTCATTCAACTGAACCAGGAAAAACAAATTCAGTGAGGCATCCAGGGATTCTGCGCGCTTTTTGGTAGAAGCGATGCAGGAGGCGCAAATGCATGTATGCCTTAAGAGTTTTCAATACTATACAATGAGAGAGCAGATTGTAAAGAATGGCAACAACCGCAATGGAGAGCTCTCTTTGTTCATCTGTGTAACATGGCTTCTAAAAATACTCCTACATGGAACTGAGAGATGATGTCTGCATATATCTAGCTGTATCATCTGAATGTACGTGGTAAAGAAGAGAACACAAGGAAGTACATCTCGGGCCTCTGCTCCTTCGCCACCCTAAGGCCTGATTTAGTTGGTGAATTTTTTTGGGAAATGGTAATGTAGTATTTTTGTTATTATTTGGCAATTAATGTTCAATTATAGTCTAATTAGGCTTAAAAGATTCGTCTCGTGAATTTTGTCTAAACTGTGTAATTAGTTTTATTTTTTATTTATATTTAATGTTTAATGTATGTGTATAAAGATTCGATGTGATGGAAAATCTTGAAAAATTTTGTAAAATTTTGGGAACTAAACATGCACTAATACTGGGAGGAAATAAACGCTGACCAAAGATTGAGAAGCATGTTAACATGCACTAATACTGGGAGGAAATAAACGCTGACCAAAGATTGAGAAGCATGTTAAAGGAGGCAAATTTTGTTTATACTTTCTGAGACATTACTTGCTGATCTATTGATGGATGTTCTTATCTTATTCGTTCGTGTCTTTTTTTGTTGTTCTGAATAGGGTTAAGTTCAATGGAGAGTTCCTAGCCTAGTGTGATTTTTTTTTATTTTTAACACTTTTTTAAACTAATTTTAAATCTAACTGTTTAATTTTTTTTTCTAAAACTAACACTTTTGGCCATGCCTATTTTCATGGCGCGGCGAAACGACTGTGCCGCGCCATGCATAGCGGTGAGAGGGATGATGTGGCGCTGACCGGTGACGTGGCAAGAGCTGTTGCACCGTGGATCTGGGTGCGACACTGTCGCGCCACAGCGCATGGCGCGGCAAGCCACGGGAGGTGCAACAGCAGGGCACTACTGTGCCTGTGCTTACTGTAGCAGCCGATGGAGACGCAATAGGGCACTACCACACATCTGTAACCGATGGAGACGCAATTGCAGGTGCATTATGTGCATGTTGCTTCGAGCGTGCAACCATGCGCTTCCACGCTGGTGGAGTGCTTGCAGTGGAGTGCATGCAAGTTGCCTGCTGCTTTGCAGGTGAAGGGACATGCTGCCCTATTAAATCATCTAGCCTCTAGCTATGCATTGTATGTATATTTATTCTTTTAACAGGAGCAGATTACGTGTTATTGTATCATATTTTACTACTTCTGTTTGGATGTAAGTTCTGTATTCAACTGATGTAAATTGATTATTCGTAAATAAGAATAGTCAGCAAACTATTATCTGATCTTTTTTTGGCCTTTTCTGATTTTCTGTATGTTTTATTTGGTTCCCCTTTGAAATTTTCCAATTTGGCTTCCATGCAAATAATTTGGCTATTTTTTAGTTTTTTATTTATTTTTTGTATGTTTTATTTGGTTCTCGTTTCATATTTTCCAATTTGACTTACATAAAAATAATCTAGTTATTTATTTGTGTTGTTTGGCTAGTTTTTTTTTGTTTATTTAATCAAGCGTTGTATGGATCAGAATCACTCGATTTTTTATCTGTCGCCGATGTTGGGGGCACCGTCAACGTTAGAGTGTCACGGCTCCTAAAATCACTCGTCCCATGAGTAGAGAATTTTTAACTGTCAGTAAACAAAGCGTAAAACTAAGCAACCGAGTGACAGTAGCTCCAGAAAAAACAACTCTTCCAGCGAGCGAGCACGGACTGACAGGCACCACGCGATGAGAGAGAGAGAGAGGGGGAGAGGGAGAGAGATGGAAGGGTGGGGGCGGGCCTGTGCCTGTGCCTGTCAGCCAACAGGTGAACAGAGCAGCAGGCCCAAAGTCCCAAGCGAGCAATCAGCCTTGTTTAGATTGAGGTTTAGAATTAGAATTTAACACCGCATCATTTTTGTTTGTATTTAATAATTATTATTTAATCATAATTTAATTAAGTTTAAAAATAATTTATAATAAAATTATATAATTAGTTATTTTTTTATCTACGTTTAATACTTTATATATGTATCTAACGATTTGACGTAACGGAGAGAGTGAAAAAACTGGAATCTAAACAAGGCCCTCTTGTTGTTTTCCGGTCAGGTCACGGTCACGTGTCTCCAGTCACCACCCACCTCCCACAGTCCCACTGGACTCTGACTCCCCGAAGCAGCAGCGGCGAAGCCTATCTTTTCCCCCTCCCGCCGTACTTTCGTTCCAGATTGCAAAGCGCTCGCGCGCAGCCATGGCCGGCGCCGGTGCACCCGCAGCTCCCCAGGCCGCTCGCCCCGGCTTCGACGTCATCGTGGTGGGCGCGGGCATCATGGGCAGCTGCACGGCGCACGCGGCGGCGTCCCGGGGCTCCCGCGTCCTGCTGCTGGAGCGCTTCGACCTGCTCCACCCGCTGGGCTCCTCGCACGGCGACTCCCGCATCATCCGCGACGCCTACGCGCAGCCGCGCTACCTCCGCATGGTGCGCCTGGCCCGCCGCCTCTGGGCTGCCGCCGAGGCCGAGGCCGGCTACCGCGTCCTCACCCCGACGCCGCACCTCTCCATGGGCCCGCGCGCCAGCGCGGCCCTGGCCGCTGCCGTCGCCAACATCGGCGCCGAGGAGGTTGTGGCCGACGACCTCGGCAGCAGGTGGGGCGGCGCCTTCGCCTTCACCGTCCCGGACCCGTCCGACGGGTGGGTCACCGCGCTCAGCGACCACGGCGGCGTGCTTAGCGCCACCAAGGCCGTGGCCATGTTCCAGTCGCTCGCCGTCGCGAAAGGCGCCGTGGTCAGGGACAACACCGAGGTCGTCGGCATCGACAAGGCGCCCGAGGGCGGCGTCGTGGTGAGGGCCAGCGGCGGCGAGGCGTACCACGGCGCCAAGTGCGTCGTCACGGTGGGCGCGTGGGCGGCCAAGCTACTAGGCTCCGTCTCCGGCGTGGACCTCCCCATCACGCCGCTGCACACGCTGCACCTGTACTGGCGCGTGAAGCCCGGCCAGGAGCAGAGCCTCTCGGCGAGCGCCGGGTTCCCGACGTTCTCCAGCTACGGCGACCCGCCCGTGTACGGCACGCCGTCGCTGGAGGTCCCGGGGCTCATCAAGATCAGCTGCGACGGCGGCCCGCCGTGCGACCCGGACTCCCGCGACTGGCTCGCCGGCGACGCGGAGGTCACGGACCGGGTGGCCAGGTGGATCCAGGAGGCCATGCCGGGCCACGTGGACGCCGCGGGCGGGCCGGTCGTCCGGCAGTCGTGCATGTGCGCCATGACGCCCGACTCCGACTTCGTCATGGACTTCCTCGGCGGGGAGCTCGGGCGGGACGTCGTGGTCGGGGTTGGGTTCTCGGGGCATGGATTCAAGATGGGCCCCGCTGTGGGGAGGATCCTGGCGGAGATGGCCATTGATGGTGACTCCAAGACGGCGGCAGAGGCTGGCGTCGACCTCGGCTTCTTCCGGATCGGCCGCTTCGATGGCAACCCCATGGGAAATGCCAAGAAGGATTAATACTGTAGGAGTGCGTATCTACGGAATTCTTCTCGACGGTAGATGCATTGGAATTGAAATAAAATAAAATGGATGGGAATGTGGACAAGTTTTTGTCCCATGTAATGTTGAACTAGCATTGAATGGAACTTCGTAGTAATGTAAGGCCAAATTTTACTTTACCATTGACCATTGGTGAAACTGATACAGCGTTGCTATCTTGCTGTGACGAACAAAACAGTCCAAGTTGCTGTTACAACTCCTTTAAAAAAAAATACAACCGTATTACGAGGCAAGTATTACTCCTGTTTCGTATTACTCATGTTCACGTATTCCATGAACTGTCAGGTGCGGTTGCCACTACAACTGTCTGGGCTCCTAGTCAGCAGTAGTGGCTGAAGAATAGGCTGAGGTCCGGATCCGGAAATTTATCCAATGTCATGCATATATCTCATCTGGCATGTTCGGCCGGTATGTATTAAAGCCGGCTGATAAGCCGATCTTGGCTGATTTACTGTGAGAGAAAAACACTGTAGATTCTAGTTGATAAGCCGGCTGATAAGTTTAAGCGAACATGTCTAAAGGGGAAAAAACAGCTCATCTGCTCCCTGGATATATCTTCACCCACACGGCTTCATGGGTTCTCTTGCAGAAAAAACAAACACAGATAACAATTTATGCATACCAAACCTGGAATTGAATTGGATTCCGTTTGGACGTAGATATTGGAGATTCTGAAATTGAATTGATACCATTACCAAATCAGGTTAGTATTGGAAATGGACTAAATACCAAATATGTTGTTTGGATGTAGATGAATTTGCTAGCCGAAATCGAGTGACACATCAAATATCATTTCATGTTTTGATGTACACCTCCAGAAATTCACTGTCTTCTTCCCCAATCCCCACCGCTCGCACGACAGCCTCGAGCGCAGAGGTGGAGGCGGCCTTGGCCCCAGCCATGGGCACGCGCAGGTGGAGGCGGAGGTGGCCCCGGCCCCGGCCTCGGCTTCGAGCGCGTAGGGGGAGGCGGAGGCGGCCCTGGCCCCAGCCCCGGCTGCGACGAGCTCGGGCGAGAAGGCGGCCCCGACCTCGGTTGTGACGAGCTCGGGCGCGGAGGCGGAGGTGGGCACGGCCCTGGGCCTGGCCCCGGCGGGTGTGGTGGTGTGCCGCGCCACTGGACGTGGGTCCACCGGCCATGGGGAACAGAAACGGAGTTCGTGCCGCCGGCCATGGGGAAGGGGAGGTGCACCGCCGGCCATGGGGAAGAAGAAGGGGAGGTGCGCCGCCGGCTATGGATGGAGAGTAGCAGCGGGCTGGCCGAGTTGGAGGAGTTAATTCCAGCCAATACA